GAAGACACACAGAGGATTTGGGATTCTGTTCTGAATCGATACGTTCTGGTCATTTCTCAGCCCTTTGGTTTTTGATTTATTCGCCACTTTTTTGCCATTTAGGATCAACTATATGATGTTATTTGTTTATCTCAGGTATCGCAAAGTGATTCCAACTGTGAGTGCAATGTGTAACCTCAGTCAACCAGCATGACAACAGCGACCTTTGTTAGCACTGTAGATCAACAACAGCATCCTCACCTTAGTACAATGCAACTGTAAAACACCACAGCATGTTTTTATATTAGCTTAACTGGTTATATATAATCAGCATTCGTTTCAGTGAAGTTTTTTTTTTTCGTCTTTCCACCCTTTTTGCCCATCCCCCTTCCCCCCACACAAAAGCTACACCCCACCCCCATCAGGATCCCCACAGCTTCAGCACCCCCCTTCCAATCGAGCTGTCCTCTTAGCCTATATACAGGTCGTCCAATCGTCTGCAAAGCTAGCGCCGCTGTTCATGACACATGCATGTGAACGCAGGCTTTTGCAAACCTCGTTCAGTGACTACTGAGCCATCAGTGAACAATGCTACTTGCCTTGATGCGGGAGACACCCGAGCCACGTTTGTAACGCTGAGCATCGGGGGTTAAAGCCAGGTATAAATCCAACAACACAAGCTTTCTCACTTCCTGCTGCTATTGCTCCGACCGCTTACAACTGGCAAGAAAAAAATAAGAAAGGAAGACTGAGACTGCTACTGAAGGGAAGAGAGAGCTGCAGAGGCAGCAGGGGGACGAAAGACAGTTGTGTCATAGCTTTCGGGGAGCGGAGTGGAGTGGGGGGGTTAAGGAATGGAAGCAGGACAGAGGGAGAGGAGGGCTTGTGGGTGTAATGGGAGAATGCGAATGCATTGATGGGGTGACCACAAGGGAAGCAGACAAATGTCTCAGCATTCAGTGGAAGGCGGGTTGACTGGGTGTTATATTTGATCAGGGTATTATGGTAACATCAATTTTTTTTCCCACCATGGCATTTGAGTTGAGATTTTTAGAGATGATGTCTCGGTTTAAAACCAATATCGACACTGTCAACCATAAATAAATTAGGAAAGAGACTGATAAAGACAATGAATATCCAATGTAAATTTACTTGGTAAGAATTTATCTCTGCTTTACTCTACATAGAAATGTGTCAGTTCTGTGGAGGGTAAAGATAAAGAAAACGCTACTCCATTGAGTTCATAATAAACACCTCACTGATCCTAAAGATTCTTTGAGTCTTCTCCTTGTGGTAATAAGGTCAACAGATAAGTGTCGTGTGGTTAGCATAAGCTATCTGAAAAGATCAGTGTTTTTTTTAGTTTTCTCATATGCATGTAATACCTACTTCATTTGAGCCTGTGATGGATAGATAACTTTAATCTTTGACTAACTGTAGTACAACATGGCTTTGAAACTTAATTACACCAGGTCTTTCTCTACTACCCTCTGGTCTGTCATCTGAGTAGTTCAACAACCTAATACAGTAAAACTAGTAGGATGTTCTGAATACTGACCACTAGACCACTAAATGGTAGCAATATACTTCACATATTATTCTGAGTATCCGTATCAGATATGCATCAACAGGCACTTCGGATGTGTTGAGACTAGTGATTTGAGATGATTTATAAAGATCAGTTGTTGGAATGCATAAAAAAAGGCTGGGCTAATTTATTAGCATTTTCACAATCTACATCAATACAAGAGGGTAAAATTTTCACTCTGAAACCCATTTAAAAAAGAAACATTTTTGGGACCCTGAAGCATTATTTTAGTGTGAATGCAAGACACAGAACTTTGTTTAAAATTGTACCTAAAAAAGGAGCTGTATAATATGTAAAACATAATTCCTATAGCAGACAGTGATGGTGATTAGAGAACAAGGTGAAGTTTGATCGACAAGCTTTGACTTGTTTTGATAGTATAATGTTAACGTTTTTGCTTGAATACTAGAGCTTACTCTATGCTGTCATAAGTGCCAGTTTGAAAAGACTAAGCTGTCTATGGAAAACATGTTTCATTGTTTCAATGAAGTGTGTAAAATGAGAGAACATATTTGTTTCTTTTTTTTTAAATATGGTCTGACTCAACCCCAAATAGTTTGTGAAGTAGATTATTAAGGTGAGGCTACTTTGAATCAACCACTTGCTTGCAAGCAAGAATGACCACTTGCCATACCCTGAGATCAAAACTTAAATTCATGCAACAGCGGATGATTCTATAATGGCAATCTATAAAATATGTATATTTGGGCAATCATCTACCAGCTGTAGTGACAGGTGGTCTGACCCTTGCTTCACCTGTCTTTAAGACTACGTTTACAAGAGACTGCTGAATGGAAACTGTTGGTATTTTCAGATGTTGATTGGGAAAAAGTGCCACTATATGGCACTGTGATTTTAGCATGGCATTGAATGTATGCGTTTTGGACCCTTAGCTTCCACCACTAACTTCCACGCTCCATTCAGTGGCGCCTTAAAATGAACTGTTCTTACCTACTAAAGCTACTAAAACCAATGATGAACAGAGTGATCATTGGTATGAAGGACTAAGATTTTATAAACTATAAAGTTTGTACACAAAATCTTTGATAACCCTTGCAGGAAAAAATTTACAAAGTGATAAACAGAGTTTTTTCTATTTCAGTGTAGTCCTGTAGGCCTTTTTATAACATGTTTGTAGTTCCTGAGAGGCTATTGACGATAGAAAACCAAGGAAGGGGTCATGTTCTTATTGATTGCCTTGAGTGTCTTCTTGGCTGCAAAGGGCAAGGAGGTCAACGTGAGACAGCAGGGCGACGGTGTGAAAAGCTCACAAAAGACATCACAAGAGCTACAAGTCAACATAAAAGGGAAGCTCCCTCACTGTTGATGCAACTAAACAGATGGCTTTCATACAACTGGATCCAAACCATTAAGTCATACTTGATGGAAACTTTAAAAATCAGTGTTCTGGTAGCTCTCAGAGACTTGTGCAGGAATGACAGAGAGGCATTTTTGCATAGTAACACCTCCCCATCTGCTACCGTTTCTGAATCTCTGCAAATGTTTCGGTGAACATTTGATCTGGTGATACAAGTCAATATATCTGACTAGATAGCTTGTGTAAGGTAGACGTAAACAACAAATTTTTACATTTACATTTTAGTTACGTCAAACAAAAATGGCATCTGTCAATTGCAACTTTTTACTCTATCACCTACCTGCTCCATGACCACAAAACAAAAACTTTATAACCCCAGAGAACAAGTGGCTAGGAGTGTGCTGTCATGCTTTATTTACTTCAAACAACATTAGCGTGCCTGAAACCACTCAGTAATTGCAGTGGGCATTTATGACCAGACCCCCACCAAGTAACAGTGTCTGGCCGACATATGGCGTAGTGCAGACAAAGTCCCTGAAATGGGCTTCCCGCATACTGAAAGTAATTTATGGGGGAGAATCAGAAGTAAACTAATTAAAAAGGCAGGGAATGAAACTCCTGTTTTCAGTTGATGCCAAGCTTAAAACTAAGCAATGAATCTGAGTATCTGCGTCGTGTACATTTTCTACTATGGCCTCATAAAAGAATAATTCTAATTTTTTTTTTCATAGATTTAGTCAAGGTTCTAACACAAATTGCAATGTGTTTTGCTGGCGTTTTATGGGATGAACCAGAGAAAGGTATTGCTTAATGGTGATAGAGAAGGAAACATAAAAATTGATTCAATAGGATTTAGGTTTGACTTTGACTTGGTCATTTTGACAAAAATGCTTAATCTAAACCCTTCCATATTAGCACCGACTGTGTTTGTGCAGCCTCTAACACGCTCTTTTCCATAATTACCTGTATTTAGCTCCATCAATAATTCCATCAACTCTGACCATATTATCCATCTCTTCTAAAACATCTTCCCTACATGATAATGCTGAAACCGCCATGTTTTACTAAAGGAATATGTAGTGTTTTTCATATATGCTGAAAAGTTCAATGGAACAGAGGACCTTCTTAAAGATAGGTGTCGTCGTTCCTGATTTAAGCTTTTTGAATGAAATTACTTTCTTCCCGCCACCTCGTTAAGTAGAGAACCATAACTTGATAAGTTTGCAGCCGTTTCCTACTCTGTCCGTTTCACATTGCTTGCTGTGTTCCTTGTTCTTTATGATGCTGTCTGTTCACTAATGCTCGTCAACAGAGTTCTGAGGCCTTCACAGAACAGCTGGATTTATGCTGAGGAAGCACAATTTTGTCTGCACAGCAACCAATTTATCTGCTACAAAGTCACATATCATAAAATTGATCAGATGTATTAGCAAAACAAGCTCCGTGTTGATAGAATGGGTGGAGAGTGTCATCAGTTTGGAAAACAGAAGGTGAAGCTCATTGCTGGGAGGAAGAGTTATGTGTTGTGTGATAAAACAGTTAAAGCAATAAGATCAGGTTGGTCCCAGGGAGGATGTGGCTTAATCGGCTTGGCTAACTGCATGGTCAATATTGGCCTACAGACAAATGTAACACTACTCTCTGATCAGACTTAAAACAATCAGCCCTAATTAGAAAGAAGTGTGAAGTGTTGGTCTGAGGCAAATATCCTAAATGAAACGCTGATCTACCACCAATTGGCCAAAAGCTGATACAATGACTCAGTAATAATGTGTGTGAAGTTCTTGCACCAGCAGAGTGAAATATGAAGTATTTAACTGTATTTAAAACTTTTCCAAACGTTCTCATGTTAGAATTAATAACTTCAATATACTGGACAGGATTCAAATAGTGTGTAAACGAGACGTGGAAGGAAAGCGATACAAGATTTGATAAAAACTGTGGAATTCATTTGTATTTTGTACATCAAAGGCAATATTTATCCAGTCACCTTCGACTGCAAACATTTTTGGAGTACATTTGTGAAAGATATAGAGAAAGCATTAAGTTGAATATTGTGATTTGCTTCCAAGAGGGGTAAGACAAAAAAAAAAAAAAAAAAGAAAGCAGACTCACAAGGCACTGCGTGACGGTACAGGTTTTCTCGGATGGTCTGCTGCAGTTCGTGGTCAGGTGATGACTTCTGGAAGCGCTGGCTTAGATAATGCTTCAGGTCCTTATTCAACTTCGTTCCTGTCAAAAATAGACAAAAATAAACATGCCGGTGCATAAATTCAACTAATGCAAAAATAAGCCAAGCAGACAGATATCATGAGGGGAGCCAAAATATTACAGCCTCTCCACGATTATGTGCTAAATGACCAGAACACTTGGCTCCCACCAAATGAAGTGAACAAGTTGATCCCGCTAAGTTGAAGAGCATCGCTGTGCCCTGCACGCTTGCCATCGTCCCACAGACGGATGGCCGCTTGTAAGCCGTTTCTCCTACCAGCTTGGGACGGGCCAAAACTGAAACTGCTAGCAGAAAGGCTAACACCACGACGCAGCCCTCCCACAGTTATGCCATCTGGACATCAGACACAGATTAGGCTACTCAAGGGCAGTGTGACTAGAGAAAGTCCATGTGTGTGCCTGGTGTGGTTTATTTATTTATTTATTTTTCCGATCTGAATGAGTGCTCCCACTTCTCTGGCAGAACTTAATGTGCAAACACAGCACAAAAAACAATGTGACAACATAACAGATGAAAACAATGACGGTGGATGCAGTCAGTCAGACAAAAACAAAAAAAAAAACAAGGTGCCCCGTTTAGCGAAAGAAAGAGGAGGGGGAGCTTCATCGAAATTCACAGCAGCTCATCACTTTCTCCTGTATTTTACTGTGTCCAATTATTTAGTGTACGAATTATTTATCTCCCATCTTTGCGTGGCTGCTGAGAACAATTTTGGTTGTCTGGGGCGCACAACTAGTCGTAAACAGACCCTGGATCCAGTTTCCATGGAAACTGTGTGCATATGGGTGAACGTGTGTGTGTGTGTGTGTGTGTGTGTGTGTGTGTGTGTGTGTGTGTGTGTGTGTGTGTGTGTGTGTGTGTGTGTGTGTGGGTGTGTGTGGGTGTGTGTGTGTATAAAGCTGATGATTGAGATTGTTAGCACATAAACACAGAAGAGCATTCTGCAGTGGTAGGCATATTGATGGTAGATTTATGTAATGAATGACAACTGAAGCCCAATGAGACCATTTTATTGACATAAGAACTGCTTTCACTGAAACAAAACAAAAAAAAAGTCTTTAATGTAAATTTTATTTCAGTGACATTGGTGCCTTCAAGTGTTTAGTTGAATCTTCCAACACATAAGATATTAAATTCACTTCTCAATGATGTTTGGGTGTTGAAAGCTCGACTGCTGCTCTGCTAATGCATTTAACGAAATTAAACACGTATTCATTTGAAAGCACATCTCGAAAAACAAATTACATCAAAAACACGGTCATTGAGTAAAATCCGCCAATTTTTTTGCCACTTCACCAGCCGGCTTAAGACTTTTTGATCTGTGAAGAGAATGCTGACTCAGTCATGTTTTTGAGTATCAGTTCTCCAGAACTGGAAAGGAACAAATTAGATGTACTTGCATTACAAAGTTTAAAACTTTTTATATGTTTTAAAGAGGTTTGTGAAATTTGTAGTCACTTTTATGTATTTTTCAAGTGACTCACAATCATTACAGACCAATATTAGCTCAATAATAAAAAGAAGGAAAATCTCATTGCATACTAACTTACTGTAAAATTGACCAGTACAGGTTAATTGCCGGTAGCAGGCGCATGTATGATGCATTAATGGAGAAAGTCACACCACCGACTCCCAGTGAGTTTAAGTTTCCAGGGCAACGCTTTATGGCACAACACCAGAAGCCATCATAGCAAGCTGTACCAAAAAAATACAAAATGAATAAATAAAAATAATCAGCAGGTTTGGGCTAGTTTTCAGCTAAATCTCTTCACATTCTAGTGCAGATAAACTAATTACATCCCTCTGGCTCCAGAATGCAGGTAAATACTTTATAATCCACCAGCTGGATGGCTGAGAGTTAAATCATACTCTCAGAGGTTTTAAGTGTTGGCGTGAACTTGTTTTACTTTGTTTTTGTAAAGTCGTTTTTGTTTTATTCTGGAGTTCAGACAACTGGTTTGAGGCTAATGTCCCCACCAAAAAAATTAACTTTTACTCAAAGTACATTTTTGATTCTTGAGCAGATTTATAGCTTTTACCTGTACATTAGTAAAAAAAACAAAACAAACAAACAAAAAAAACTTATTCATTATCTTCTTACATCCTCTCTTGAAAACAGATGTTTTTTTAGTAATGGTAGCTCTGCTAGTTGTATTTTTTGCTCATCTATAATGCTGAAGGTAGTTTAAATATCAATTCAGTAACTGTCTCGTCTGTTCCAAACAGTCAAATCCTGTTTTACAGTGAAGATAGTACAATACTTGACAGCAAAGAGCAGATACTTCCCACATGGCACGAGACTTTCCAACTCTACCTCAAGAAATTTGTGCTATACACAAACAATCCCCCAAAACATATAAATAGAACAAAATTGGCAGGTATGTTTGAAAATCCAAAAATACTCTGCTCAACCCTTTCTGTTACAACAATGATTTTAGATACAAATAACCATTTTATATTTTTGAAAAATCCATCGTAGCCTACAACATAACCTCAAGGAGACAAAAGCACAGGCTTTAATCCAGTTATGTAGATCTGATCCCTCTCTCAGTCACTCTTTATGTGTCCTTATCCTGATAAAGCAACACGACTTTCATTAAAATGAACAGACACCCTTCAAAGTCACGACGGTATGAATAACAAGGTCCTCAAGGACTTTCTTCACTGATGAAGGAAGGAGAGGTAATTATGGAGGGATGTGCTGATTAAGTAGATAGCAATATCCGCTGCTCCTCTGTGACCGCACTCTGCCAATAACACATCAGCAACTGGTGTCAATACTTGGTGTTTAATAATAGTTGCTTCTGATTTTAAAAATGCATACCGATCGCTGGCTCGACTGCAAATGGCAGGTAAAGATTGCGGCGATGAAAAAAAATCTAATGAATAAATAACTGAATCTTTATTTTAGTTGTAAACCTCAAAGTCTTAAGTGAAATATCCCTCTGGATTTGCTTCCCTTTTTTTAAAAAAAAATGCTCTACCTTTATCACAGATGACAAAACATTTGGTACCTGGGGTTCAAACTAACACGCTAGAATCTACTAGAGGTGGAAGGAGCAGTCAGCTGAAAAGACAAGACGCTACACAATGCTGGCTTTACAAGAACAAAGGGAGATTTTAATATCCACAGCTCACAATACTTAGAAGGTGGCAGGATAAATACTACTTTAAACTTATTGTCCTTGAGAATTTCACAATGTCAGGGTTTTCTCTCTATTCACCCTTTATATTTATGTTGGTCCAACTGGGGGTGGCAGAAGGAAAATATCCCATTACAGCTGCCTTCAGTGTTTGTAATAACTGGAAACAAGTCTTTTTTCATCACTGTTGAGAATTTTTCATTTCTATTTCTGTTTCGATTGAACCTCACTAAATTTGTTTTTTGAGCTTGAATGGCCAAGTTGGCATCATGCCACAGCATTTCAATCTGATGAGATGAGTCAGTCCATTAATGGATTCTTCAAATCCATTGATGACTCCTGTGAAGGTTCACTGCTGCTCCATGTTGTCTCCGTTTGTGGATAATGGCTCTCACTTTTGACTTGCTGCAGTTCCAAAGCCTAACAAATGGTTCTGAATATCCAAACTGATAGGTAAACATTGTCTCAACCTTTGTCGAAGAACTTTAGAACCGGCGATGACACGTTCCTTCTTTGAGTCTTTGAGTCTACTTCACGTTGTCAGAGAGGTTATAGTTGAACCGGGACAATAAAAGGAAACTGAACAACTATGTAAAGAAGCAAGGACTTTGTCACCAAAATCTTCAAATGAACATACAAATTCCAGATGGGAATGTCTTGACTTTTGATTTTGAAAATTCTCAGTTTGGGAATGTGATTCAAACATGAAACAATAAATATTCTCAATACCCATGCCCAACAGCTCCAGGCATCTGTATGGCTCTGCGGTGGTGCACGAGACATTTTCCCGAAATGAAGTGAATCTCAAGCAGGAGGAAAGGTGGGATCTGGAGAACATTTGGCCCCAGTGACCACCCACCCAATATCCCCCTTGAAAAACAGATAATTAGAAAAGACATATCCTTCAAACACAGCCCACCTGGTATAGATTTTCAATAAGCCTGCCACCCCCAAAACAAGCACGGTTTTGGAAGTGAGACATACAATCCTCGACAGAAGGGAGGTTTACTTGAGAGAAACAGAGAAGGAGAGGCAGAGTCTGTCACACAGAACGAGAGCATCAGAGGAAGCCAGACTAAACATCAAAAGCGCTTCAGACAGCTAGAAAAAGCGGAAAGCCCCCGCGACTTTCCAGGCATCTACCATTGAGTCCACCCGAGCGCCCCACAACTCTGATCAGCCATCCAAGTCCCTGTTCAGACATGCATAGCCAGACCCGGCACTGGCTGGATCTGCTGGCACCTGACATCTGTGTTCACGCTGGAAAAACATATAAACTTCAATGAAACTTGAGCTAACTGCTCACAAGGCAATTATAGTAACAATGGGAAGCTTTGACGGCTTTCTGTTGATTTGAAACTGGAAGGAGTTAAGGGGAATAGACCTTTAACATTCCACTAAGACTTGTTATTACCTACCTTGATATTTAATACCTCTCGCTACAAAAGTGCCTTTGTATGCACTGAATGCTTTGTATGCATGATTGGAAATAGAAGATATTGCTGCAGCTTGTCTGACCTGGACGCTGTGAGTTGGGTGGGAATGATCCAACACTGGTTACAACAAAATCCAAAGATTCAAGACACTTCCATTAAAAATGTTGTCATTCTTTTAAATAAATACTTGGATATCAATTTTTTGTCCTGCCTCTGGAAAAGACAAAAAAAAACATAATTGCAGTTAATTAAAAAGTTAATTTTACTTACGAGAAAAGCAGAACCAAATATTTGTTCTCGAGAGAGTATAGAAGCTTAAGAGATGCTTTACTTTCAGCTGTGGCATATATGAAGCGTTTGTTTCATAATATGCATCCAATTTCAAGTCATCCCACAGCATCTTAATGAGATCTTAGTAAC